AATGTGCAGTTTGACCATGATACGGTTGTGCAGTCTTTGCCTGTCAGATCACCCTTAGGGGCCAAATCTACAAAAATATGTGCATAGGCTCTTTTAAGACTAGAAAAAGACCTATTAGCCTTGATGTAGTCAAAATTGTGTGCTAGTTAGTAAGCCTTACCTAAGGCTTACCAGTGTAAGATGCATCTATACAGATCTGTGTTTTCATGCAGCTGTGGCTTTTGAGAGTTATCATGCAAATTATCTGACGTCATGACACTCATTTCTTTGTGTGCATTTCAGTAAATGAGCTGTGATGAGACGGTTACTGTCAAATGTAACCTGTAGCCATGATGGTAAAATGGAAGTTCCAAGAAAACAAAGAGAGGCAGAGGGAAGTAAAAGGAAAATAAATGGAAGGAGTATAATTCTGACTCAGTTTTTCCTAACCTGTTCTGCCAGAAGGCTTCAAGACCTTTTGGAGTTCTGCACAGATATAATTTGTTTCCACTGAACCCTTGAAGGAATCTTTTTAAATAGGTCAAATACTGTTTCCTTGCTTTAAAGTTGTATGTCTCTATTTATGAAACCATAAGCAACCTTGACAACAAATGAACTGATCTGAGTTGCTGAAAATACGCAGTCATGAGGGTATATTTTTGCATATGGTTCTATTGTCTTTCAGTATTTAGTGTGGTGTTTTCACATGCGTTGGGGAAGGGAATAAATCCAGAAAATTTGGAATCAAGTTTACTTTTATACAATAATGGAGGCTTTTACTTGGACAGCTACAAATATAATTTTTCTTGCTGTTATTGCAAGCTGACGTTATTTTCTGTTTGAAGCTCATCATGAAGCACACGGGGTTTTTTTCCTTCTTTTTCTCTGCTTACTCTTATTGTTTTGTTTAATACATGCCTGAAAATCTTACTTAAAAAAAAAAAAAAAAAAAAATTTTGCTTCCGTGTGCCCATGCAAGTAATGTAAAGCAGTTTTGGTGGCTGTAATTTGATTCTGTCACTTAAGGAAGTAGAACTTTACCTTCGTCAAGGTTACTTCACATTAGTTTCACGTTTACTTTCAGAAATAAATGTGCATTGATCTTCATACATGTCTGCTAATTTTCCTTTATTTGGGCAAAAGTTTATTGATGATCTAGATGAAATGGCTTTGTGACTTAAGAATTTTACCTAAGTATGTTTGCAATGCAAAATTAAAACTTTGCTAATTACATTTTTGATGTAACCATATAGTGGACACAGTCTTATACCTTATCTTATATAGTTTTGTTGCTAGTCAGTATGGAAAATAAAACTGCAACTCTGATGTGATCAAGGATTTTTCTAAGGAAAAGTCATTGCTCCCATTAGAAATGTAATATGCATTTGTCATTGGTGGTAACTTCCCATTGGGATGTTCTGAGCACACATGAAAAGTGGCTTTTTACTGCACAGTTTACTCTGATTTTGCAGTTAAGTGTCAAGATCCTTTCTACCCTAAGCTCATGCCAAACTTACGTTTCAATTCTTAGCTTTGAAAATCATCTTGTATGTGACTTCAAAATGAAAGGGATGCTGTATTTCAGAGCTGGGTTGCCTTTGGCAAATGTGTTTCAAAGCCAGGTCTCTGGTGTCCATAGCAACCTGTGGGGACGGAGGAGAGGCTGTCGCTGGCTGGACCCAGATGGGGACCGACATGCAAATAGGAATTTGGAATTTGCTAAGTGAGAAAAGCACTTGAGGTTGAAGAAAGTAGTGGACCTGAGATGAGAGGCAACAGTGGACTGATTAAAGAGGGTGAAGCAGAGGTCGTAAATGGGAAATGGGTTGATGCATTTATGCTTAATAGAGCATACTAATTTTAAAAGACCTGAAATAACACCCCAAAACTATAACAAAATGTTGGTGAAAAGTACTGTCAGTTTTCCCATTTCCCTTTGTGTGATGGTACGTGCAGCAGATAATAGTGTTTCTCTGCTCTTGTTTCTTCCATTAGCTCATGGAAAACGTTTGTGCATATCTTTTATTTTGTATGCTTAAGTATATATATTGCATAATCTCACCTCATATTTCTCTTCCTCTCTACCCTGTTCTCCCATGAGCTCCTTATTTAATTCACTGCATAGACTTGCTTTTGAATATCTGTTGCAGAAGGTGGAAGAGCTGAGTGAATGAGATAGAACTGTATGAAGAAAGTGTGTGGTCCCACATAGGGGTTTTAAAATTGTGTTCTGGAGCACAGGTCTGTTTCCTTAGGAAAATTTTGAGAACTAGTAAATTTGCTTAGGTGTATGTCTAATGCAGTAGAGCATAAAATATTGTTATGCTTGTGTATAAATTTATGGTAGATTATAATAAAATTTTATATACCAAATATCTTGTATGCTGTACATGCTGTGTGTCCTTCTGTTTCAGAAAGAACAGTGCGTAACTGGAAAGGGTAGAGAGGAGAACAGTATGGCTGGCCAGAGAATGGCTTTTGTGTAAGAAGTGATTGATTGGAGTAGGATTCTTTAGTTTTGAGTAAAGGTAACTGAAGGAAGATACAATATAGGCATCAAAATCAGGACTAACATGAAAGGTGAAGATGACTTTGTTTACTGCCTCGTATAATTAAAAATCTGTGGATACCAAATATAATTAGCAGGATCAGGCTTAAATGAAAGGATGTATCTTCTACTGTGATGCATAACTAAGCTGTGGAACTCCTAGCTTCTAGGTGCTAAAAATTTACACAGATTCAAAAGTAATATTCATGGAAGAAGATTTGATGAACAGCTTTAAATCGAAGATTCTGTATATGACTTCAGAAGTTCCTGATTCAAAAATCACTGAATATCTGGAGAAAACGCTTTATAAATATTGCCGTTAAATGACATATGCTTATTCTATTCCTATGTCCCTCCTTTACCATCCTAGTGATATTTGCTAATAGCCACGGATAAAATGCTGGACCAGATGGATCTTTGATCTCACATGTGGTGGCTATTTGTATGTACTAGTTACGATGGTGAGTGCTTTTAAAAAGCAGAGGAAGGAATCTGGTAATTCTGTATTCAGAGAACTGTTTCAATAATGTACGGTTATTTAAAAAATGAAGCCACACATGAAGGAGAAAACAAATTTTAAGGGCTGCTTATAGAGACCCTTTTATTAGGTGTGTTCAAGGAATGCAACCAGATTTTTGCGAAACTAAATTTAATGTGTGATCATAGCATGAGCTGAGGTGTTTTTTTTTTTTTTTAAGAGAGTGGGGCAGCTGACTTAAGACTGAATGCTTTATGAATTAAAGCTTAGAGTCCAGTGGATATTCTTGCTGGGTTTTTTTAACAAAAAAATGTATAAATTTATATGCTAGCTGTTGCTCTCCACGTAAAATATTTGCTGTGTACTATTGGTTGTGTAGAGGCTTGTTCATCTGGCCTTAGCTAGCTATTAATACCTCTTTAGCAGTACCTTGGAAGAAATTTTTTTCTTGAAGAAAATAAAAGGAATGCAACACTGATGCATGCTTTTAAGTGTTTTGATGTATAAAAAATATCTAGTGCATATCCTTTTGACCAATGGGCATCACATAATCTTAGTGTTCATTTGATCTTAAATTCCATGGAATAGTATTGCTAAATACTGTTGGGCGTTTTATGATGTTTTACCAAAGCAGTCCTTTGTTGGTATCAGGTATATATAAAATGGCATTCCTTCATTTTGTGATCTTCTTTTTTTTCCCCCTCCCCCCCCCCCCCCCAGCTGCATCAGAATGTCATGGTTGTTTCCTCAGTGTAAATCGAATGTATTGTGAAGTGTAGCCTGTGACTAATTGCCTCTTCCTGTCTCTGCTTATTAGCTGTCTGATGGTGATGTGGTTGCACCACTTTCTACACATGGCCTCACGGATATGGCATTGTGACACCCATATTAAAATATGCAAGGCTTAATTTCAAAAGGCGTTTTGGGTTGGGAAGTTAGAGAGGTTATAAGCTAATATTGTGGCTGTTTTTACCCCTTTTATTTTAATGCATATTAGTTGGTAATTGAATAAGGTGTAGCTATTTCATGTTTTGATGTTCTAGAGGCTATTTCTTTTCAGTTGTTCTCCAGTTTTGTTGAATTAATGTTACCCTACAGTTCAAGCAGTATGTTTGGAATATGGCTTACCAATTTTTTTTACCGAAAATGCATTTAAAGTTTGTTAAATATCAGTTTTACAAGTCAGTTTGGTGCATTAGTACCAGATTAAAATATTATGATGGCACACTGGCTTTTCAAGTTGCATGCACCCTTATCTTTCTAAACAATTTACCAAAATGAAACAAGTGCTGGACTGGTAATTGGTTATTGGCAAATGTGCAACTTGCAGGTTATTGTAGAGAGAGTAACTGTGTGAATGTCTTAATTATTCATTGGTGTCTTGGTAGCTGTGAAATAGTTCTGTTGTGAAAATATTTTCTGTCGTCTTTATCCTTTTAAAGTAAAGATATTCCCTTTTTCCTTCTCCCTCCTGCTTCCCAATAAAACTCCAAATACTGTCTTACAAAATGAGGTAATTTAGTTTGGTAACAGAAACTTGGTATTCTCATGGCTTTGTTTCATTATGGTGATGATAATTTTACAAGACAAACAGGAAACACAAAGTGGTTTCTCTGTAAGGTTTCCTAAAATAATGAATGGAGTTAACCAAAACTTTGTGGGTAAATTTTTGAAACCTCAGATCACTCAAGGCCTAAAGCTTAGAGTAGTGAGCACCACCTCCTTTGACAACTGTAAATTTTTAAGGTATCCAATTGAAAGTGTATGAAATTATTGGTCATTTTACCCACAAACTACAGATTTAGAATCTAGCAAACTTGTTGGAGTTTACTTAATTGGAACAAAGTATGTAGTGTAATATTTTACTAATGAAAATACTTGGTTCTTCACTACAACTGTTTTATGCATGCACATGTTTTACAGCTATACAAGCATTTAGTGATGCTTCCTCTTTATTAATTTGTAAATTAATTTTTTCAAAATCTTATTTTTTAGGGGTTTATAAGAAGAAACAGGAACCTTTCCGAAGCTGAAGACAAAGTAAAAGAAAACCGTATCATGTGTTAAAATACTGAAGAGTGAAATTTCTTGGATTAGTATATTTCTGGATTGCAAAGCAAAAGAAAGAAGAGGCTGAAAATGGGGAGGAAGAAAATACAGATCACAAGAATAATGGATGAACGGAACAGACAGGTGAGAAACAAGGAGTCTGCATGAACAAGTTCATCAGTAATCCTAAAAATTAATGGAAATTTTGAATACATTCATCTTAATTCACTCTTCTAAAGCTGAGCTTTGTCTTCACGTATCTACAGATGGCATTATCAGAATACAAATAAGAAATATGTCTCAATGGTTTTACTACTGTTTTAGGGGAAATTGTTATTTATAAGTAATATCAATTACTACTTTAAATCAAATTCACTGTAAAACCAGTATTCCTATATAAATGGTAGCCTAGTCTGTACTTCTAGTAGTCTGGAGGACCATGTTGAACAGACACCTTAATTGATCTGATAGCTACTAGGAACACTTAGTAATGAAGATGGAGAAATGAAGAGAAATTCAGAAAGGATGTAGTAAAAGTATTTGCTGCAGCCTCTTTGACAGAGGAGTTTGACATAGCTGTGGACAATGATCTAAAGTGTTTTGGATATAATAATGAATTTTGTTAACATGATTCTATTTAAAAGCATTGATTTATATTCCTTGTAAGAGCTGTTTACTACAACAGTCTTTAAAAATTGTCAGTCAAAAGGGAAGAGTACTTGAAAGTGCACTGTTTTAGGGAAAGCTGCTTACTTGGTTGCTCTTGCCCTAAGAGGTGTCCTGTGAACTTGAAAAGTATCAAAAGTTGATGACTGTACAGCAGTAGTGTTTACTCTTAACTTCTAAATTGCTACATGACATATGAAATAAAATTTTAATTGGATATTGAAATGTAGAGTGGGGTATCTGGAAGCTGCCGTTTTTAAGGAAAGGTATTGTAGGAATGACTTCGGATCTTTAAGAATAGTCATAGTGGGTCAGACCAAAGATGCCGCTAGGCCAGTATCTTTTGTCCAATGATGGTCATAAGCAAATAAGCATAGGATAGAGATGCATGTTACACTACTCTGTAACCCTCTTCTAGCTTCTAACTATTCTTAGCTCAGGGATTTCCTGAGCTGGATGTGGTTTCCCTATATTTAGTAACCATTAATGGATTTTTTGTTTGTTTTCCCCACCCCCTGCCAGTGAACTTGTTCAGTTATCCTTTGAACCCTTACAAAGTTGCAGCATTTGCAGCATCTTTTGGCTAGGATTTCCTATAGGTCTATTACCTGTTGTTTCAAGAAACACCTTTTCATTTATGCTTAGTTGGGGTTCTGCTAGTTATTTAGCTCTTGTATGAAAGAGGCAGCAGTCACTCCCTATCTAGTCTGTCCATCTTGTTATTCTGTGGACCTCTGCCATGTTTTCTTATTTTCTCTTAAAATAACTTTTTCAGGCTGAAGCACCATAGCTTACTTAGTTGTTTTAATACAGAATTTATTCCACACCTCTGACCACTGTCACTACTTTTCCCTAAACCTTCTTGAGTATTGCTATGTTATTTTTGGTGGCAAAGGGACCCAGAACTGCAGAGTGTTCAAGATGCAGGCAAAACATGGACTTGCATAGTGGTGTACTGATGTTTGTTCTCTGTTCCCTTCCTAATATTTGATTTGCTTTTTTAACTTCTCCTGAGCACCAACTTGATGTTGGGATAGTGTCAGAATTCCATGAGACTGTCTTGCTGCTGACATATCAACTCGGAGCCCATTGTTTTGTTTGTGAAATCAGGATTGTTCTTCTCCCGTATCACTTTAAAGCAGTGTAAACTCTGAGAAGACTATATATAGCAAGAAAAGTATTATTGGAGTTTGGGAGAAAGCCAAGTATTGTGTTTGAACAGCTTTAATCACACAGTGACTGTATGTTTGATGTCGATAAATGTCTTAAGTACATGTAGTAAAAGTAGATGAATTAATAACTTCAGTTTTTTCATATCTTGCTCTAGAACTTCAGGCACGTTGAAGAGGTGGAAATTGATCCCCCTCCCCCCTTTTTTTAACTTATTTGGAGTAAATTGGATAACCATGTTTTTGTTCTGCTTGAAATACAAATATTGTTATACCCTGACTTCGGTGTGGTGGGTTTTTTTCCAGGGGGAATTGTGGGGTTTTTTTTGGATCTCCATCTCATTGTTCAGATTGGAACAATGGCGAGGAGGAGAATTAGTGCATTTGTATCAAATTTTAGCCCACTTGTACCATTGCTGTGACTGAAGCAAAATATGGGAATTAATTTCTAAGTTTTGTTTCTGGCTGGTCTTTGGCTAGCACTTCTTTTGGGCTTTTTAGTGACTAGGAAGAGGCTTTAAGCTCTAACTTAAAAATGGAATTAGGCTTGCCTTATCCTTTTTTCTGTGGAAACTCTGAGATAACATACTGCATTTTGTTTTTAAAAGGTTTTAAAGAGATTAAATAGCTTTTGTTAGTGGAGCGAAATTCTTTGTGTAGAGCTATTAATGGTATTCTCTATCTCCACTGGTGTCCTGTGGTTTTGGTAGCTAGTATATAGAGTTTTAACATACTAAAATGCTCTGATGCACAGGATATTTATTAGGTATTAATTTACTTTTGAGAATTTCTTTCATTGACCCAGGTAAGGAGGGCGTTTAGGGGGGTTGTTTTGCCAAACGGAAAGTATAGTTCAGTTGTGTTCTGTCAGTTTTTCTATGGCATACATAGCTGGTTAGTAGGTCATTCATGAACATGCATATGGTGTCCTGTTTAGATGTTTAATATGATGCTTAGGGTTTTTTTGTTCGAAAATACGAGTAGAATGGGATAGAGCTTTGCCTGCAGAGCAAATTCATATAACTTGTGTGGGAAGAAAAGCTATTGTTTTATCAGAAGCATCTTATTTCTGATGGGATTGTATGTGAGCTCAAAACAGAATATGTAGACCATTACTCTGGGGGATTACAATTGTCATGAGAACGTCACTGTATTATTAATTAAGCAGTCTTATCTGTTTGAATGAGCTGTAGGACATTTATCTTCATTAAGCTGAAGAGAATAAAGTACAGTAAATTAGATATCAAAGAGGCTCAATCTTGCTGCCTTTGCTGTCTCCTTCTCGCCCTTTTTTGCTAAGCGGTATTAGAGTAGTGCTGAGGAAGCCGTTAGCCTGCAATAAAGATACATATTCTTGTTTTTAGTGTGGTCCTAAATGGCACACTAAATGGCAAGAAAAAAAAATAGAGAAATTTGCAGAACTAATATTCTGCTTTCTGAGTTCTTAAATGAAAACTGAGTTTATAATAGTCTATGTGCATTAAAGTAAGGCTTGGACTCCAGTGGTAGTGGGGTTTGTGCTAAGCACTGTTCAAACACAAAGTGAGAAATCGATGCTAGCTGAGAATATCACAAGTAAAATAGCCTTACAAGAGGAGAGAAATATAACATTTCAGTAGAGAAGTTAAGATTCCTTGCCCAGGATCATACAGGTCCTTGGTGGAACTAAGCCTTCAAGTCTTTTCATTTGATGACTTCTCAAAGTAATACAGCATACACACATCTTGTTTACGATGCCTTTTTCCTGACAAAAACTAAACAGTAGTATCTGTCTATATGTGCTCATACTTGGGTAATAATCTCTTAAGTGTCTTGTAATTGAAGTATCTAGAACAACAACAGCTACTTAAAAAAACCCACAGTTTCCCCAGATCCCCAGAGGAATCCAAAGTAATTCTTAATGTCCCATCCAAGACAGGATAAATAAATCCCAAGTGTTCTGAAAGAAGGCATGTGTAAAGTGATAGAACTGCTAGGAGACTTACACAAGATCTGTTTTTAAAAAGCAGCTGTTTTGTATTATATGTGGATAGTAAAATTTCCACCTGCATTTGGGAAAAGTACAGCCCCGTGAAACCTACATTTGTACTTGGTCAACTTGTTGAATTGATAACTGAAAGTAAAATACTAACAGAAGATACATTAAGGTAAAGTCTGTCAGATTTTTTGGCATCTTGTCTCACTAATGTATTGTAATTGTTAAACAATAAGTAGGTAGAAAGATCTGCTTACCCTAGTTGAACCTTGAATGTGTTACAGCACTCTTACATAAAATTGTTTCAGAGAGAGTGCTGTATCTTAATGGAGCTTCTCACCAAACGTGCTTTAAAAGGGTTGAATAAAAAAGTTACGGTAAGTACTCACTTTTTATCTGAACACGGATTATTCAAGCCTCGCAAAAGGCTCTGTGATTAGTGGTCTTTAAACCCTAAGAAGTTTCTAAGTTAGAAACACTGCACAGGAACTTAGGTGGAACTATGGTTATCATAATATGCCCGACATTCCATATTCTCATCTTTCTAGGTCTTACCTGTTTATTACCTCCATTCCTACTGTGGCTAAGTGTTAACAATCCAGGTTTTCAAAAATCATAGGCACAGTGCATTTTTGGGGGGAGGGGGCACATGTTAAAACAGGGGTTTTTTTTGTTTGTTTCTTTTTAATGGATGTGGGTACTACTACGGTTTCTCTTCAGATCGTATAAATCTTTCGCCTTTTACTAAAGATTTCCGTGGAGAGGAACACAATTTTTTAGGGTCACAAAGATGATCAGGGGGATGGAACATCTCTCCTATGAAGAAAGGCTGAGAGACTTGGGGCTGTTCAGCCTAGAGAAGAGAAGGCTTTGGGGAGACCTTATTGCAGCCTATCAGTACTTAAAGGGGGCTTATAAAAAAGATGGTGGCAGACTTTTTAGTAGGGCCTGTTGCGACAGGACAAGGGGCAATGGCTTTAAACTAAAGGG